TTCCTTCCTTCCTTCCTTCCTTCCTTCCTTCCTTCCTTCCTTCCTTCTTTGCTTCCTTCCTTCTTTGCTTCCTTCCTTCCTTCCCTCCTCCTTTCTTGCCCTAGTTTCTCCTTGGAGATATGCTCGTATTACTCATTTTCCTCTGCCTTCTTTAGTCAGCATGTATATTGCTTATTTAGTCAGCATGTATATTTCCAATAAACAAATTTAAGAAAAGTAAAAGAAGTTATTTCTCATACTGTAACATTTCTTACCACCTCTCTTACTCTTACACTCCAAACTCTATTCCTTTTCATCATTTCTCTAGGTTACATACACAGGACTTTCAACTTTTGCAAGAATCTATAGCCCACACATATCTAAAACGCCGTCCATTCATTTATTCAACAAATATTTATTTAGGGTTTATTGTTACCAAGGCTCTGTGTTGGAAATAATGGGAAGAAAGGTAGTGATGTGGCTATTCCAGAAACAGGATAAGATTCATGAAACTCAGAAGTTTGATCAGAACGTATTGCCCATACCTGTGCAAAATATGGTCCTAGACACAGGGCTACTAAAGATTGAAGACAATCTGTGCTCTCAAGTGCTTACAATATAATTGAAAAGCCAGAATTCTTGGCACTGATAGGCGAAATGACTGAAGGACACTTAGGGTAAAATATTCCAACATACTCAAATCAGCATAAAGTAAATAGCGTGCAGGAGTATTTGAGAGAACAGTCAAAATTTAGTTTACTGTATCAATAGAAGCCTACTGCATGAAGGGAATTTGAAAGTGAATTTTGATGCCCATGAAAGATGTGTATTTCCAGGAGATAAAAGAATAACCACAGTAATTTGTACAAACATGGGAATAAGCAAACTGCATATTCTGAAAGATAAAGTATTTGCTTGGTAAGATATTTGCTGAGAGGAATAGTCCTCAAAATGGTGGCTGATGAGCAGGCATAAGAGAGTTACCTCAGAAGTCTTTCCCCAGCTGATTGCACATTATCTTCTCTCTCTCTTCACTTTCTGTTTGTTACATTTCTTTCCATTTTTCTGTGATGTCCCTTGCAGTGGATATAAGGGCGGATCTGTGCATGTTGCAGTTAGGAAAGGCGGATTGCAATTTGAAGAAAAGTTCAACAGAACCAATGTCTCCATACTACCTGTTTTGAGTTAGGACACAATGATTTATGGAAATGTTCACATATATTTTTGAAATGGGATAGAAGTAGTGAAAGGTGTATCTTATAAGTGGGTAGCCATGTTTAAATTAACATGAGAAGTGAGTAAGTGTCACACTCAAGCCTGATTCATTCAACAAATAAAATATTACCGACTACAGTTTTATATACTGTTCAACATTCCACACCACATCTTTCCCTATTTTGAACCTCAAATTTAAGCCTTTATTAAAAACTACATCTGTGCAATAATGCAGTATGTAAACTGTCATTTGTTTCATAAAGATGTTAGTAGATGGTGTCCACATATATACGCATTTTGTGTGTGTGTGTGTGTATACATATATATATCTAGAATTCATTTGAGCAATGTTCACTTATTTTATCCACATTTATAAAGAGAGAAGAGTATATGATCCAAATTAAAATGCAATGCCATTATCATTTATACTGTTAAAATTCAAATCATAAAAATAAATGGGGGGAGCAGTATTACAGATGACAAAAATACTTTAAACTATGTATATTCTGCCCTGAAATAGCCATTGCTCTGAAATATGTTACATAATAGATTATAATACTTTAATACATAATAAAGTTTTCTTAAAAATATTAATAATTGGTTGTATTTCTTAAATACGTTCTAGTAATGGGCTAAGGACAGTTATGTTAAAATAGCCCAAAAATTAACTTGCAGGCAATGAGGAGTTCTTGTTTGTACACAAGAAGCTATTAATATTTAAAAGAAGAAAAAAGATCTCATTTATTTTACACATCTGTACCATGAACTAATCTAAATGTTTTAATATCATTATCTTAGTTCATCCTAGTGATTTTTTGCATTAATATTTACGTTTAATTATAGTTTGTTTGGTTACCATTAAGGTTTGATTTTCAGTGAATTTGTTAATAGATGCTAATTGAAGTAGCTTAGTAAATCAACTGTGGGATTTAAACTCTTCCAAAGATAGCACACTTACAGGTTAATACAAAAACCTAGTTCAAACTTTCTCCATTATGCCTTTATCAAAAGGTCTTTAGAAATAGGACATTTTCATTTTACCCCTATCTTTCCATTGTACCTTTTGTTGAAGAAGGTTTCCTAAAGAAAAAGGGAAAGATTCATGGGCCTGGTTATTCCACAGACAGATTTCATACTTACACCTGTAGTTAACATTTTTCTCAACCTACTTTTATAATTGCCAGCTGAAAAAGTAAAACAACAAATGAAGAGTCAACTAGGAAACAGAGGGACAGATTTCAATTTTGAATTCAAATTTGGTTAAGCAGAGAACGCGTAGGGGAAAAATAAATTCCAATTGGATTTAATACACATAAAACATTGGATTTAGATGGACCTGAAGGTTTTCTACTAAAAAAAAAAAAAAAAAAAAACTTGCAGTGAGCTGAGATCTGGCGACTGCAATCAAACCTGGACGACAGAATAATACGCAATCTTAAAAAAAAAAAAAAAAAAAAATACAGGTTTGTTAATACTTTACATCTTTGATGGACTTGTTTTTAATCATAAAGTTTGTTACCACATACTAAAAAGAAAAGCATTTTAAGATAAATTGTTTTACCAGAATTCTGAAGGAAAAAAAAAAAAAAAAAAACCTTAGAATTCTATGTGGCCACATAACGTTTGAATAGTCAAATGTTTACACTGTAAATAAAAGCAGGAACAATATACGAATTCTAGTAGCTTTAATGAAGCCAATATTTTGGATGCCACGGCAAAGATAAAGAGCATTGCAGAAAAAGAAAGGCAAGGTTTTGAGATTTTCAAGATGAGTTTCATGTTTTTGAAGCACTTAACTGATTTTGTCAATTTCCAGAAGTAGTTATATTTTTACTATAGGTTTTGACTTTTTTCATCAGACTTATGAATGATATCACAATCAGGGTATATATGTTGAATTATCTTCTCAGCCTAGGTACAACAATAAATGAATTGGGCATTTTGTTACTTGATATGAGAAATGTCATCAATCCCTGATCTTGCTTTGACACCTGATTTGAGCTCAATGAATACGCCCTTAGTCATAAGATTATCTTGGCACTGAGTCAGAAACAGAAGTAGAAGCAGGGATGTCAGGAATAGTGAAAGCAATGAGTTCTGCCTTCTTTCCATCTCTCCATACAATCAGGTGACATCTTTCTTTCAAAATCTTTTTTTTTTCAGAGTTGACTTTGACACGCCCAGGTTTGGGGAAGTTATGCTCTTCTTTCAAAGCTACCAAAAGTAATTATATAGTGCTTCGTCATTCAAAAAGACTGTAAACCTACAAGTTCTTAGCAAAATGTATCAGAAATACAAAAACTCTGTCTTCACATATAACACATTGTAATATAAGTAATAGAGTACCTTGCATTATCAAGAGAACAATCTCCCAATTGTTATAATTGAATCAAAATAAAGTATTCATGTTTGTTTTTATCTAAGTCAATGGCACATTCTTCTTAATACAATTTGTTTGGTTTTGATACAACTTAATACATTGCAAACTCATCAATTCATTGTACTACTCATCTTACTGGTAAGTAGATAGACTAAATATACTAAAGAAACATTTAATTAGGCATGCTGAGCCTTTCTGTTACTGGGTGGTGAAGAAGAAAGGCTTCTTTTTACTAACATTCATTGTGTTTTAAAGTTTAATGGTACTATAGGAGTTAGTTTGGGTCAAATTGTAAATTTATTATGATGCCTTTGGGCTGTGTATCTTTGAAATCCACCACAAGAATTATTTTTTATTAGAATTTTTAATGTAAAAATTCATCTATGTAAGTGCAATAGAAAAAAATACATTTTTTCAATAATATGTATTATCAGGAGTAAAAATTACCAAAATTAAAGAAGATGGCCATAACATGTTGCCTCTTCACAACTACCAACCCCTGTTATACACTTGATTTCTCCATATAAAAAAATATGTCCCTTCAATTCAGATTCCCTATAAGCAAACTAAAGATGGTAATATTTGTTTATTATTATTACTACTATCATCAAACATTTTAATTTCAGGATGATGTTTTAAAAGTAAAACAGGATGTTGGACGTCTTAAACTGGACCTTCTTTTATATTTCACCCTAAATATCTCACTTTTCCTACAGACTTAGATAAATTTAAAAGGTCTTGTCTAATTAATGAAGTTACTAAAATTGTTTTTACCTGTAAAATTTGTTCTATAAATAGAAAAATGGAAAAATAAGTACTTGCTTTTTATTAGACTTATGTTGCATACTTATATGAAGAAATTAGTTCCTATACTCTGAAGACTTAAAATAAATCACAATGTCACTGAGACGTATCCCTTATGATTTAAATAACAAAATGAAACAAATTGGAAGATAACATAACTTTTAAATTCAGAAATATTAATTACAGTGTTACTTTTTACATGTGAATATTCCAAAAGTGAAGACTCGTAATTTAATCCAGCTTCTCTTGGATGGTAGTTAGACAGAAGCAAGAAAAATAAATGCATAAAACAGAAATTGTTATACATGTAATAAAAAATGTGTAATTTACATAGAAGTAAAATTCAGCATATATAAACTATATACATGTATATACAATGTATATACATATATAATAGTAGTATATATATACACACAAACACACACACACACACAATGGCCCAATTACACATGTGTTATTGCTCCTATTACTTTTAAAAGGCCTATAGTATATTAAACAGAACATAGTATATTGAAGAGAATACGGTGATTTTAGTGATACTTATTTGTGTTCCGTTCACCTGAATATTCACAGTTGAAAATTTTGAGCTAAGTTATAAATGTCTAAGTTCAAATGAAACTAGCTCACATCACTTAAGATGGAGTGTCCATTGATTACCATTTCCTCTCACATTATCTTGACTTGTTATAGTCGTATTTCTCAAATTTTGTGTAGCATTTCATTAATGCTTCCTTTGTCATAGCCATTTCACAAAAGTGTAACATTTATTGGCCTAGACAACGTAATTGCAAAAGGACAGGACTGTACGAATAATGAATTTACACTAAGTGAATCAAAATAATGTGTTGCGATAGTTAAAGTTCTTTTGTTCTATAATTGCATTATAAATTTTCATAAACCTAAACATATTCTTTTCAAATATGAAGGGTTTAAAGTAATACTGCCAGGTTTAAAAAGAAATCTTCAAGCTCAGTCATTACATTTTCCTTTTGATTCTCTCTCTCTAAACTTTGTTAAAATTATAGTGTTCATCATCCTTATTTTTAAGTATTTGCAATTAGATAAAATAATATAGCATTCTAAATAAAAATATAAAAACATCTACATAAATAATACCACATATGATGTATAACATGATGTTAAAATTGTTATTGAATTAAACTAATAGTTAATTTCCAATTATTTCTCACTAATCCTCTTATAGTTTGAGATATTACAATATTTTTATTATTTCTAAATATTATTACTATACTTAGTAATAAAAATAGCAATGAATAATAGCAAATATCTGTCAGAACTGGGTCTGCTTCAGTTAAGTTAGTCATCACAATGAAGTGAATTAGTACTCTTTTTCTTAAAAATAAGTATTTTACTGCAGCAAAAACATAAAACATATTATAATCATAGTACCTACATTAATATCCATCATGTTTAATGAAAACAGATCTGGTATTATAAATTGAAACTAACTTAGGTAATGTTAATGCACAGTAAAAATAAATGTCCTAATCAGGGGGTAGAAAATTCCATAAAAGCAAAAAACTATTCCCTTAAATACAAAATTTCGTTCTCGTATAAATTTATTTTTACTAAATAAATAAATGTATTTCTCATTCAAGGGTGAAAGTACCAACTATATTTAAGACCAAACAGCCTTACTTTCTGTATTTCATAAGTAAAATACAAACATTATAATTATCAAGTTATATTGTAGTTTGATATCATTTATGGACGCTCATTTCTCAAATGCTGAAAGCACCAGGGTCTTTTTGAGATTGTACTTTAGCCTGATTCGTATAATATGCTGTGTTATGAATATGTACATGTTCATTAAAGAAATGAGGACTATTATCTGAAGCATCTAGCTTTGCACTTTTAAGTTTTTACTATGCATATGCTTTCTATTATTCCCCAAACCATTTGATTAGGAGGAACAGAAGTATGATAAATTGCTAGTTCAGAGACTCTATAAATTGGGCTTTAAAACACTTAAAGTGTAATATTGGTTTTATGTACCTTAAAAAAAAAGAGAGAGACAGATAATTAGAAAGAATAAAGGAGGTGGGATAACTAGAAGAAAGGTGATTTGTGGGAAAGTAAAGAAAGCAAGAAAGAAAAGGAGAAGATAAAACAAAAAAGAAGAATGACACCTATTTAATAGTGGGCCTGAGTCTTCTGCATAAGAGCTTCACTTCAATATCACACAGAGAGATAAAGTGGATGATGTTCATGGGCTTCTTCCTTCTAAAATAATTCCAAAATATATTCAAATAATTGAGCATAAAAGTTTGTCAAGTGCCCCAAAACTGCAATTTTATATGGATACACTTTTTTTTTATTTTTATGCATACCTATGCTGACATTTCTATATAATGAATCAAGAGAAATATAAATATACTCTTGTAGACATTCATGGAGCTTTCATTTTGTTACTACAATGGCTTCATGCTATAGTAGTGACACACCTTCAGAAACTGCTAGACTCATTCTCTTTTTGTGGAAAAAAAAATGTGATATAAGGCATCAGTGACTTGTGATGAATTACATTCAACACGTAATGATAATTCCTACTATGGGCACTTTGAGGAAACACTAGCGGAGAACACCGGCCTCACTGCACAGTTCTGCAGGTCCTGGGTCTGTGGCTCTCTGGAGCTCTGCTGCCCTCTAATGGCCTACTTTGATAAGTGCCTGCCTCATAGGTCTGTTTTCTTAAGTTTCCTCCACCAATTTGATACCGGCGCCGTAAAAATCCAGTATTCTTTGGTTTCGCTCACATATAAATGGATCTAAACTTGGCTTGTTGTCAGGTTATTTTTTCAACATAATTTTAATGTCATAGGACGAAAAACTCATTCAGCATCCTCTGACTTAGTTCAAACGTTATTGGGGCCAGTTGTTGTCAGTGGTTGGAAAATAGTAGTCAAATGTAAGTGACAGCTTTCACAGGATTCTGGCCATATAATTGGCTCCAAGGCCAAGGCCTTTGATATTTACTGGGTTGTGTGGGTGTATGTGGAAGCGTGTGGGTGTAGGAGGGTGATGTAATTGGACTACATATTTTAAAAACAATAGCAATTTTATTCTCCAATTTCTTTATGTCATCTATTAAGATGTACGGATCCTTGATTACGTTCTCCTAATTAATCCTGTACTTCTCAGTGATCTAGTTATTTTATTTTCTCCCCCTTGCATCTTGCCTAGGAAACGTGCATCATTGGTTACTAAGATTGAAATTCATAAGTCAAGGAAAAAAAATAAACTGTAAGTCAGATTTTAAGTCTCAATTGTATCCTGGTTTGGAATAGAGATGGTGGGATATAAGATTTATCAACATCACAGTGCATCAAACCCGTTAATAAATTACTTTCTGTGTAACAAGTAAAAGAAATCATTTTTTAAAATGGGAGCATGAAAGGCATGGCATAGCTGGAGTTTAAGGTTCAAGCTTTGTATCCTCTATATATAATGTATTATGTTTTTCAAAAACTTTTTATTAGGAAAGCTATACCAGACGCATAATCACTATACAATGATTAAACATTACCTTTACAATTTATAATCACTGAAATTACAGAATAAATATATGCACATTTCTTTTGAATCTTTGTGTGTGAGAGAGAAAACATTAAAAGTGCTTCCTACAAAGCTGTTAGTGATATATACCCAGTTGCTGTTTTTAAATATTATATATATATATATAAGAAAGTGCAGATGTTCTCCAAAAAATCTTGGCATCAGGATGAAGTGTCACAAAGAGGGTGCTCACCCCTAGGCGCGTGTCTTCGGCTGTTAAACCACCAGGCCTCCACTTCGGTAGAATCCAGCCTAGAATGTGACTTTTCCCAGGGTGATAGGAGAGATGCTGTGAGCTGTACACTAGCAGTGAAGGGTAGTGGAACTATGGAGAGGAGAAAAATGGATCAAACCCGAACTAAGCAGATTGGGTTGAATGGGAATGGTACGGAGTGTGTGTGTGTGTGTGTGTGTGTGTGTGTGTGTGTGTGTGTACCTGCACCAGTAGGAAGAAACTGCAGGTTTAGGGATCACGGTTTGCAGATGGATATGTGTATGAGAGACAAGATAGTGAGTGAGAACATTCGAGCAAGACCCGCCCCCTCCCTCCCCGTCTTGCAGTTTCCAGGCATGCAGCAAACTGCATTGTTAATACATGTACAGAATCTGTGCCATGATGAGAAGAAAGAAAGCCACAAATGACAAATGTCAACTTGTTTCCCCCCTCCCTTTAAAACAAAACTACAACTAAAAAAAAAATAGTTACTGAAAATAAAAAGACACATTGAGTTTTACTTAATTAGGATCCATACAATGATCCCCGGTATACCTTATACATGGCACAGTCAAAGTCTCAAGTTTCAGTATAAAAAAATAATGATAACATTTGCTGGCAAAAGTCTGCGAAGGCACTTCATTGATTAATGATCTGAGTATGGCCCTTCCTCCAAATCACATCTGAGAGGGGAGAGCATACATCTGTATTCTCTAGTTATCATGCGGTTTCAGTTTTGTTCAGGGTAGGGAAGATCGTGAGGATGGAGTTATTGGGACAAGTGTAAAGGGAGCAAGGGATATATTTCTTTTATTTTCCTTTTCTTTTGGGGGGGAAAGAAAAGCACTAATATATTTTCTTCTCTCTGTTAGAACCTATATGTTGTCTTCTCCAGGACTTCGAGGTAATCCGGCTTGGTTTGAAGTTTGGCCCTTAACTCGAGGTAATCACTTTTTTGGGTTTGGTGGTCTGTGAAGCCCTTTCCAGCCGAGAAGAGAAGGGTTTCTTTGAGCCTGGCGTCCTGCTGTAAGTCTGGGTATTGCATGCCAGGAGGGTGCACGTGCAGTTCCTTTAATTTGGGCACTGTTCCATAGAGACAGTCCACAAATCCCACTGTGCAGGGGGCGGGCTGTGGCCTCTCTCGGTCTAGTAGCATACTGCCACCACCACAGCCTCCCCCGGGAGGAAACAGCACCACCCCACCATTTTTCTCGTGGTGGCGGAACCCTGCCAAGTCTCCCCCAGTTCCCCCAACTACTCCTGAAACCCCACCAACTGCTGGGTGGTGAGGGTGAGGGTGATGGTGATTCACCGTCACTATGGTGTTAAGCTGGGAGCTGGACACTGCCAGGGCCCACTCCTTCTCTTTTTCCAGCAAGGTCCGGTAGTTACTATGGTTCTCCTTGGGTGTCTCAGCAAACTGCTCACTTCCTAGGAGAGCCTCACCCATTCCCGGTGGTTGTGTCCCTGGACCCCCACGTTCTGCACTCCCTGCTTCTTGGGCTGATGAAACAGTCACCTCCTCCTCCTCACGAGGCTTGTAGATGGGGTTGTTGCACATTTGGGTAACTGGGTGGGGGATGTACTCATACACATGACCTACAGGAGGGGCCTTCTCTGGAGAGGAAAGAGTTGGTCGACCTCCACCCCCACTTCCACCACCACCACCTCCACCATCCTCAAACAGCCGGTGGCATTGCATTTGGATGCCAGTAAGGTCCACACCTTCCTGCCGCTTGCTTCTGAAGGGCAGCTTCTTTCGACGCCTTCGGAGCACGTAGGCAAAGAGGCCTGCAGCAACAAAGACTGCTGAGAAAAACAGAACCAGAAGGCTGAGAATTAACACAGAAAGTGGCACAGGGCCTCCAGGAGGAGAAAACTCATAAGGTGATGCACTGGTTGGTGCCCCAATAAGGTGGGAATCTCCAGGCTGGGCTGGGGATGCTCCAGCTGGTGCAACGTGCAGCATCTCCGGGCAAAGAACTTCCAGCTCAATAGTGCGCACATCACGGTGCGTGAGGTTCTCAGGGCTCCTGCAAAGCACATCACCAACCACACTGACTGAGCTGATGGTTTCGATCCACTGTTTAAAGGGGACCAGGTCACAAGTGCAATCCCAAGGATTCTCATTGAGGTCTATCTGGACAATGGCGTTCAAGTGTTCCAGGACACCAGCCACGGGAAGATAGAGGAAGTAGTTCTTCCTCAGGTTGAGCCGGGCCAGGGATGTGCCTGCAAAGGCGTCCGTTGGCAGGGTCCTCAGCAAGTTATTATTGAGGAATAGCAGCTTCAAGTTGGGCATGAGGCTGAAGGCTGCAGGCTGGATTTCCCGGATGACATTGAACTCAAAGTACAAGTAGTGCAAACTCTGTAGGCCTCGGAACATGCCTGGTGTCAGCTTCTCTATATCGTTGCCATTAAGAAAGAGGCTTTTTAAGTTGGGCAAGTTGATAAAGGCCCCATCTTGGACATAGGAAATACGATTGTTCCCCAGATGCAAGAGATCCAAGGAAGAAAAATTCCAAAAATCAGAACGGTATATTTTCTGAATCAGATTGCTACTCAGATACAGTTTCTTGGCATTCAAGGGCCTTGGAAGAAGTTCAGAAATGTTATTAAATCCTCGCTCTTTGCAGTTGACAGTCAAGCCAAGGTCATTGATGTGCAAATTACAGGTACACCCAGTGGGGCATATAATGGGGATTGGTGGTCTAGTCTGATAAGGAGCAATGGGAGGCTGGTTTGGACCAGGATATAAAGCTTGGGAGGTGGAGGGTGGCCTTGGTGTTCGAGGCTGTTTGGTGGGCTTAGGCTGTTTATTTGAGGACTTGTATTCAACAGAAGAAGCAGTAAAATGGACAGAGGATAGCATTGAGGAAGGCTTAGTTGGCCATGCATTCTCCTTACTTGATGACAAATGTGGAATTCCCAAACTAGCCTCTACCTCAGAGTCAGACAACAAAGGACAGAGTTCTGTCTTCTTGATTTCTCGTAGGTCCTTTCCATGGAAATGGAAAGGGGTCTCACAGGTAATGTCTCCCACCAGGGCAGTATAAGGAATGCGTTCCAGCCAACTCTTCAGTTGTACAATTTCACATGTACAGTTCCAAGGGTTTTCTTCCAGCTGGAGTTCCATCAGGCTTCTGCCAATGTGATCTAGCATTCCTCGGTAAAAAAGAACCTTTAACCTATTTCCACGTAGGTCCAAATGGGTTAAAGAGACAGCCTTAAATAAATTGGTCGGAAGCATGGGGATGAGATTATCATTTAAAATCAGAACCCTCAATTTACTTAGGTTCCGAAATGCTCCACTCTCAATACGTTTAATGACATTGTAATCTGCCTGCAGATATTCTAGACTTTCCAAGCCAAGGAAGGTGTCATTTCTGAAGACATCTAGTTTGTTTTCATGTAGATATAGTCTCTTTAAAATCTTAAGACCATTGAAAGCTCCAGTCTGAATGTCCTGCAATGCATTGTTCCCAAGATTAATAGACACAGCATTATTCAAATGAAGAAAACTGTTGGTGTATAATTTCCTCATAGAATTCCTCTGCAGATACAGTTTAAAAGGTCTTGACCAGAACTCGGTAATCTGACTAATATTTGTAAATCCTTTACTGTCACAATGTATATGAAAGAGGCTTTCTTTAACTTCACAGTAGCATGGATCAAAACAGGGCTCATCTATTTCCTCTGAGTCCTCTATTAGGGGAATCGGGGTAGTCCATCCTAGAGCAATTGTGCTTAGAAGAATTATCCACAACATCCTTCCTCTGTGAAGCATCTCAGCTATGGAAGGTTTCATCGTTCGTGGTTGATTACAAAACTGCAACAGAAATAAAAATGCAGATTTTTAGCTTTTAGTCATATGTACTATTTTAATTGACTCCTACATGTGGGGCATTTTAAGAGCTATATAAAAACTTCAGCAATTGTAGAAGTGACACTCAAAATGAGCTAGCAATACACTTAACGTTTAGAGTGTGTCCTATATTTTAAACTTAGGAGACTCTGAAATATTGAACCATGCAGTGACATTTTCCTGAACCAAGCCATACTTGGTAAACGGCATATCGCATGAACAAAAGCAGACTGCATTGCCTCTGTATAACAAACAACAGAACTGGTACATCGTACTTCCTTTTAGGCATAAGCAGATTCAGTAATAATAGCAATAATGTGGCCATTACACCTGTTTGCCTGTTAAAACTCATGTTGACATCAAAGATACTCATAATAAATCTGATTGGAACTCTGATGGGAAAAATATGTTCTTTGAATTATAAGTGACTATTAAAAATACATGACATACTCCAAAATTATTATATTGATTAGTATGATAAAGTGTGAGCCTGTTGCTCAGTATCAGATGTTGGGATGTGTAGAATGATCAGCAACTCAGGAAAACTTAAGATTTATTTTTATGAAATGATCATAACATGCTTTATAATAGTGTGTAGTCAGTATGTACACTATATGTCCACATCCTTTGGCCCAAGAATAGAATACTGTCATCTTCTTTAATAAGTAATTTGTATATATTTGTATCATTTAACTATTTAAAGCATGTAGGAGTCATTAGCCCTTCTAAAAAACATGCCCATGCAATTGTCAGAGCTAAAGATAGGGACAGCTAGAGGATGCTGAGTCTGAAAGTGTCTGAATTAAAACATTCGCAAAGCTTAGTTTGGAATGTGTATCTGTGCCTTCAAGATCAACTGAGGAACCCTTTAAAAAGCTAGAAGAGCAGGTGACTGGTTAGAGGGGAGGCGGGTAGTTAAAATCAAGAGAGAGTGGAAACCTCTATTCTTACCTGCTGATAAATGATCTATCACATGAAATAAATTTCAAAAAGATATCATTCTTTTCCAATCAGAAGAAACAAATGCAATGCACTATTCTGATAACATAGTCTTCCTCTATGCATCGCTTTCCTTGCCTAATAACATCAGTATATGAAAATGTTTACATAAATAAATGATAATAATGCAGTTTTATTATATTCTCCTTCCTGAGTCACTAAAATATCCATCAAAATTGAATAGCTGATTTTAATCAATAAAAATAAACCAAAGTTTCTAGCATATATTTTCCTCACAGATAGCACACAGAAAGATATATTTCATCAACCTTCTTCTTAAAACACAATGATATAATTTATAGGAAAAGTGAAAAAATAAATCTTCACATTACACTTGCATATAATGTTCACAGCTGTAAAGAAAGGAGATACCGTGAGAAAGCGAAGAGAAGTCTGCCTCAGACATGCAATACTGAAAAATTAAAAACAATTAAATGAAAAAGAGGGAGAGAGAAAAGGCAGAAAAGCCTACATTGCAGTATCAATTAGTCTTCCATCTCCCTTATGAAATATTAAAATCTACTTAAGTTCTTCCTTCTTCACTATCTTAAATATTTTTCTTGTTTTTCAGGTCCCTGTGGTTTAGGCAAAAAAGGCTCCAGATGTCTTGGACTTACCTATTTTGCCAGAGTTTTTTGGTTTTCTTTTCTTTTTTTTTTTTTTTTTTTTTTTTTTTTTTTTGTTATTTATTTATTTATTTATTAGCCTGGAACCGTGAACCATGAAAAGAAAAAGAGAAAAAAAAGCTTGATTTTAAGGATTCTCTCTCTTACCCTCCCACTCCCTTTGCTTTGCTGAAGCTGAAGCAAAAGGGGATAAAAGGGGGTTGGGCGGGGGGACTAAGAGGAAAAAAAAAAGAGCAGCAAGCTTGAGACGTGCTGGGAATGCAATGGGCTCTTCAATGGGCTTCTTTAGGATGCAGAACTGCCGCTTGGCACACTCAATAGAGGAGGGAGGAGAAGGGGCTGCAGCAGGCTTCCAGCTCTGCTGCCCCTGCCGCTGCCGCCGCGGTGGCTGCTCTCTCTGGGTACCCACAGCACATCACTGGTCACTGGGAGGAAGGGCGGGAGGGAGGCAGGGAGGAAGGAAGGCTCAATCACAGTACAGAATCTCAGACTTCCCTCGCTCCGGCTTTAAAAATATATATGTGCTATAACCCTGAACCCGGTATTCCACGTCATGAAAATGAGTTCCAAAGGGAACGCGCTTAGCATAGGTTCGGGAACGAGCGCTAGGAAGCCCTGACTATACAGTTGTGAGTGAGTGAGTGTGTGTGTGTGTGTGTGTAGGAAAAATAAGTAGAGGGATAGAGAACACAAATTGGCAAAATAAGAAACAAGAGCGAAGTGGGAGGAGACCAACCTATGGGAAACATTTCTTTGGTGGGGAAGGTGGAGATGGGGGAGGGGGGCGGGGGATAGGCATTTTAGGCATTTTCTTTCTTTCTTTCTTTCTTTCTTTCTTTCTTTCTTTCTTTCTTTCTTTCTTTCTTCCTTCCTTTCTTCCTTCCTTTCTTTCTTTCTTTCTTTCTTTCTTTCTTTCTTTCTTTCTTTCTTTCTTTCTTTCTTTCTTTCTTTCCTCTCTCTCTCTCTCTCTTTTTTTTTTTTTTTTTTTAAACTCTCGAGGAAACCATCCCCTGGATCATCTGCTCCTCTAGTTTCCAAAGCTCCCCCTCTCTAGTGCAGGTGGTTTGAAAAGTGAGACTGTCCTTCGGAATTATCTTTTTCACAGGACAGCCATTCCCTGAAATGACGGGGATGGGGGGAAAATCCAGGTCCCCAAAGCAGAAAAGCTAAATCTGTCTGATTCTGCCTGGGTGTCCCGAATAAAAGCTCAGACAGCCTGAAAGACTTGGACCGAGTTTCTCCTGCATTTTGCTTCGATCCCTTTGCACCAGGAATTCTTTTGTTGTGCTGCAGGTCAAAGCCTTCGATATCCCCTGGGTTCAGCAGCATTTCTTTTATTTCACCTTTTTAAAAACAGAGACAAGCCAATTCTCTGGAAGGAGATACAGACCACTTGGATAACAATGGTACATTTCACATTCTGCCGCCGGAAAAGACCTCGCGGGATTGGGGTGGATTTAAGGATTTGAATGTTTTTGTCCGCTCTTTCTTTTTCTTTCTTATTTTTTAAACTCAAATATTTCTCCGTGAAATTTTCGGGAAGTGGATCCTAGGGAGTGCTGGGAGTGGGGATGGAGGTGATTGAAGGAAGATACTGTATTGTGGAGGGCCTACCAGATGATAGTTCAGGAACCCTCTCAAAGGAATTTTTTAAGGCTCAGCTGACAGCACTACAGTCCTGCCTGCTGGGAAGGAATGCAGCTTGGTGAGGAAACTGGGGAGAGCCAAGTGTGCAGCAAAGGAGATTAACAGGACCCGTGTGCTGTGGATGCTCCCCATCTGCCCCCACCAGCACACACCAACCCTGTCACCAACTTGCCGAGGGGGAGAAGGGAGGGACTTTTTGGTTGCAAAAGAACTAAACTGAATCTCAATTGCCCAAGGGCTCAAAGTTAGTAGGTAGAGACGGTTTCCCCTCAAAGGACCCTTTACAAAAGCAAATTTTAAAGCAAAGCACAGTTTACATATCAATACCTTACTGCTCTACAACAGGTAAATCACCTAACAATGTGTTCCTTAGAAGTCAAAGGCAATTTCCATAATATTTTGCATTTAAAATGACCACGCGTGAGTCCACTGACACACAGTAGCTAATTTTAGAAACATGCCACCCTAGACTAAGTAAGCAGGAGGGCAGAATTTTCTAACATTCTATCCTTAAAATTCCAGACCCACCCTATTACTCCCATAGGTCTCAGCCAAGAAGTAAACCAATACCGATAGCCTAAGCTCAGAATCAGAGCAATTCCCTCTCCCTCACCAGCTGCCTGCACCCGCACCCTCCCCCACCCCATCCCCCGCCCAGCACTTTGGGTACCCAATGTGCAGAGGCGGTGACTATTTATCGGGTCTTATCGGAACCCATGATGTGATGGAATCGATGGGTAACCCGGAGGCTGCCCTGAGCTTCCAGATGACGGTAAATATTGTCTCGGCGATGAAGTCTCTGTTCTTTCTTGAACTAAAACCCCTTAAGTTCTGGACCTGGGCTATGTCCTAAAGGCTATCTCATCTTTTTGCTTTCCTTTAGCTCAGGATAGCGTGTCTAAAGGACAGGGAGGTCTCCAAAAGTTAGGGGTATTGAGCCATGGGGCCCCGATTTTTTCCGTGTCCTGTTGGGAGCGCCCAGAGCCATTTGTTTGTCCAGAGAGAGGACAAGAAGCCCTTTCTCCCCGCTGTGCCCCCTTCCCACTGCCTCCTCCCCACTGCTGGATCTTACAGCTCACTAATCTCTTCAGATCTAAGATTAAATATTTCAATATGGAAGCAAACTATCTTCCCTAGAACAAGTAATTAAAATGCTGCATCATTCATTTTCTGAAGAGCTTTCAGCCGTCTATAGATCCTTTTCTAATCTGCTGTCGTTAGGCGAAACGCACAATGGTCTGTTTAGAAATGGAAAATTATTAAAAGCTCAAGCGTTTTTCCTTCTACCCCTTACAACACTAGCGAACAATCCACTGGGGGAGGGGTCCTTCGCTCTGCCGCCTGGCCTATTTGTTGGAGTTACTTACGATGTCTTCACCCAGAAAAGAGGTCCGAGGGTATGTTAGTCTCCGATACCCCTCCTTCCACCAACGTCCTTACACCTAACTGATCCAATTCAAAACTGCAACAAACCCCTAGCACCTGTGAGCGTACAGAAGACACCGCGGCCAAACTCGATGTGCTCCACAATGCACATCCTACATAGAAGAAATACTGGTTTCAATTAGGCAAAGTAGGAAAGGATGGCGGCGAGTACCTATGGTGCAGAGCGCTCAGGATCTCCGAGGTTTGCTCCGAGGGGCTTCCCAGCGGGAGAGGCAAACTCTCTGGGAGGCTGAATTGTATCCATCATACTGTAGCCTTGTAGCTTCTCCTCTTCTGGCCACCAACTTTCCGAAAGGCTACCAAATCACGCTTGTAATCCGTTTAAATGTTTCCACCTTTGAGATTTGCAGGGAAATGGTCGCTGCATACCAATGGGAGAGCCGGGCGCGCACCTAGCGCTGCGATGTCAGTGACAGGGAGCTCACGACCACAGCTCCCTATGCCTTCGATGGCAGGCAGGCAGGCAGGCAGAGTGAGTGTCCCAGGACTAGGTTCCTTTGATTTAAAATCTCAGTGCTCTCGATCAGTGGAGAGCTTCGTTGTTCCCGAGAGCCTGAGCTCAGTCTCTGGATTTCTCTCTTTCTCTCTTCCTGAAAGGTTGTCACTCACAATCCCTGCCCGAGGCCTCCTTCCATCCGAAAAGATGGAATTAGCCCTTGCTTTTCCAGGGTGTCTTTGCTCTTTGCCCTTTAGGTGGGTGGGAGTGGGGGTGGATGGTGTGTAGATGAGAGAAGAAAAGGGTGGGGAGAGGCGGAAAGGAGGCAGGAAGGGGGCGACTAGATCTCAGATCCCAGCATTGGTCAGACGGCGAAGGTGGGGGGAAAGAAGGAGAGAGGGAGAGAAGATACAAATACACAGTATGGCTGTGCACACCAAATTTCACTTGGATTTGGGAGATCTCAGGCAAAGCACGAAGGTGAAGCGAGCCCGTTGGCAGAGAGTGAGTCCCCTGACCGCTCACCATTCAAGCACCCTCACTTCTCCAGCGGGAGAAGGTGCGGGGGAGGGGGGCGGGAGGGGGAGGGGACCGCCGAACGTTTCAGGCCAAGGAGACGCTCGCGGCGGCAGCGGCGGCGGCATCTTTTAAGACTGACCTGCTTTAAAAGTGCCACTTTAATGGCCTAGGAAATAACTAAAATCAGATTACACGTTACTTACCAACGTCTCCTCCTAAACGGAAGCGCGAGGTCGGGTATAAGGAGTCAATATAGGAAGCGCAGGGCTGGAACCTGAATGCAAATCCATCAGCAGCCCCTAAATCGCGCACCAAGGGAGCGGCGCTCGGGAGCCCCCAGATCAGCCCATCGCCGGAGCTCCGCCAGCGCGTCCCCCCCGCACCCCCGGCCCCTCCTCCGCGCCAACTGTGTAAATCAGCCGCCGCAGTCCTCTCGCCGCGCATCGCAGGCAAAATCCCGGCTTAGGAAGCAAGGAAGCAAGTGATCTCTCTCTCTCTCTCTCTCTCTCTCTCTCTCTCTCTCTCTCTCTCTCCCCCCCCCCCTTCTCGCGTTCGCTCGATCTGTGCCCCTCTCCCTCTCCCCCATTATCGGTCACAACCTGGCAGCTCTTCAAGAGACACCCTGTGAAATTGATTGCCGGGAAGTCAGCATTCTGTATCTGTGGATTGATTTGTAACTTGTATTTGCAAATGAGAGAGATGCCTGTTTGGAAAATTACAGCCCAAAAGGTGGGGGGTAATCAAATTAAGAACATCTGAGCTGTATTGGTGGGCGGTATCGCTAAACGCCTCCGGGGAGCGGTTTCCAAGTGATTTGCAGTAATCCCCCACCTTCATGATACATGGGTGACGATTTGAAAGTACACATATTTCCTCATCCGTTTACATTTGCCAGGGGTGGGGGGGTGGGGAAATAAAACTGTAGGGCACAGGGAGTTGGGAGGGGGGCATTTTCCGGAGAGATGCTGGATATCATTTCGTGACAAATTAGATACGGACACTGAAACAATTATTACATGTATGTGAAAGTGTTATTACAACATTATAGAGGCGACCATTACCCCCACTGCAGTCATACTAATGCAGTCGTTTAATGCTCCATTCAATCTGCAGTGTAAACCAACGCAATTCTTTTTAATAGATCCCTTTCATCAGCGACTGTGTTGGAAAGAGGGCAGCCTTCCACTAACTCCCAAAGTGAATAGAAGGTAGCCTGGGGAATCATCTCTGTATCTCTTGCCATTTCTTCCTGAAGTGAATGCAATACATTGTCCAAGGCAAGCAAAGTTATTTAGCTATTATAATTGTAGAGGTAGAATGATCTTGACCCTATTTTTAAAATCATTCAAAGAACTCCAACTCACCCTTTGCAAATAAACAGTACTCTCTTTTAATTTATGCATAAAATCCTTTGACAGACAGGCCTGAATATATGTTTTACATCTTTATTTAGTGAATTTCTATATACTATAATTTATACCATCATTAGTTCATATTATGGACGTAAATACCACAAGTTAGTGTCCATATTACCTACATTAAAAGATAGGAAAGGATGGAGTTGGTCATAGAGACAGCCAGGGGCCTGTGGAATTTTTTGGGATATATATATATACACACACACACTAAATTTAGTATGGCAACTGTGTTGGTTCTGCATAAAGTGAATTTAGATTATATATATATATATGTGTATATATCATACTTATATTGTTTCCATTTGTTCTTTAAAATACTCAGCATTCTTGAAGATTTTTAAGATTAGTAAAGTATCTACAGGGACCTAGAAAGTAATAAAAAGCACCATGTATTAAAATGGATTCTTTTTAAGTAAAGCATTTCAGACTCACTGGCATGAGTTCCAAACCTCTTTCCAGTATTTTCTAGGATACTAGATTCTTCCATGCGAATTTTACATACAGGGAGACGTCAATGTACAAGAAACATTTGCCCTAGGTATTTCACTCACTGGGTCTCCCAATTGGCCTTCAAAGTGGTATATCCAGGCAGGGTTGCCAAAGGAGTACACCCCCATAATGAATCAGTCAGATTTAGGAAAAACCAAACTGCATCAGTAGTTTGATGTGTCACAGAGATATTTTTGGCCTTTTCAGGTGGTTGCCCAATTTGAGGAGAATCACTCCTGGGTACACCATATTTTATGTGGGCAAGTGTGAAATCACACACATCCCCTTTGAGCCCCAGGGCTGGAGGATATTAGAGTAATCCTGAAAGACATTAGGCAACATTACTCCTAAAGTTACTAGATCTCTTTAACTTTTTGGAACTATTTTCAAGGTTATTTTGATAAGAGCGCCATGAATATATTAATTTGTTTACTCTGATCAAATGTTAGTATGGCCTGAGGGTACTGGGGAGCTGCAGAAGATTGAATAGCTAGAACGGGTTGTTAGTGTTAAACATGAGTACTCCCCATACAAATATTACAGGCCAGATAAAAATATTGTAGAGTAAGTGATTATGATAGATATTTGATTTTATGTTGTGAGTTTTTAGTGCTTTCCACACAGACATTTACATGTCCCTAGTTTTATTTTAACCAAACATCATTTACATAAAATAATATATAGGATGTAATTTTTAGTTCAACAAATATTACGTCTACATTGCTGATTTGTTTTTAAATTATAAGCATTACAATATTTCATATAGTTTTTTAAACTATTCTGTCATTTTTCAGAGGGGAACAATGATATCAAAATAACTAAGATAGACTTTATTTTTTCGTCTAGCATATATTTTGCTCATTCTGATAGTTTAAATAAAATAAATACATGTTTTAAAAGATTTACTACTAATTAAACTAGGGTTAGAGAACTGTTTGTTGTACAATGAAGTAGGCATTCAAGAAAGTTCCAAACTCTAAATGTAGTTGTAGTAATCTATGATTATGTACAACATACTTAGGTCATTTACGTATTTGGTTTGTCTGTTATTAAGCATTGTAAAAACATTTGTGAAGCATTGTAAAAATATTTGGTAAAAAAAATATGTTTTTTCTCTTTGTTCATTGGAAATTCTGTTTAGGTCAACAAATTACATGTTTGATAACCATCAAAACCTAACTGCCTTACCATTTGCTTAACTTTTGATATACCGCTGTTGAAACAATTGAAAATATAGTTACACACAATTTTATAAATGGGAACATAGGCTGTAGAAGTTAAACAAATAAAAATATGATAAAACATGAATTAATATTTTTACTTTTGTTGTATGTTTATTTCTGTTGATCTTTCTGTATCTCCATAGGAGAAACACTTTTGAAACATTTTATGTTGTAGAAAAAGTTCCAAACCAATTGATAATTTTTTAATAGCATCTTATAAAACTTAGTGAATCAGCATAGATTTAACAAGCTGTAAGTATGAAGAAGCTGCAAGATATTCAATTAAACATTGATCTTTTATATCCTGTTTCACTAAAACATTTTAAAGCACTTTATAGGCATCCACTAAATGAAACTTCAGCTTCTTTTGAAGTAAACAAGAGTTTTAATCTCAAAGGTTATGTGAGCTATTTTGAGACAATCAGATTTAAACTATTCAGCATGAACAAATGTTTATTTATAGGCTGGATTAGACACAAAGTTATTGTCTCCTTTTAAAGATATTTTTCAAAATTATTTGGAATTAATAAATTATAGATGTTAAGATTAAAATTACTGAGGGGGAAAAAGTTTTAAAAGACTAAGATGAAGAGAAATAAATCAAATGTATAAGTTGAAGTAAATTGATTATTGAATAACGCATCAGGAAATAAATGTAGGTTTTATACGTAATAGATAAAGGTAAATCAGATAAGCTTTAATGATAGAAAAATATTTTTAAACATGATATTATGAGAGAATAAAATAATAATTTTATAGAATCATAAAATCTCAAGGTTAAGAGGGACTTGGAAGGTAATCTAATTTGACCAATTATGTGATATTATAATCTGCTTCACTATCCCCCAGCAAGTTGTTATCAAGATTATGAACATTTTTTAAATAAATTTTTATTTTTAGTTCCAGGGTACACATGAATGGTGTGCAGGTTTGTTTCATAGTTATTGGAGCTTAGTGCATTTCAGAGCAGGCCATTTTATTTTTGGACAAATCTAACTGATTGAAAAGAAAGTTAAGCAAATTAAAACTTCTACTTTCCGTCAATTGTTATTGTTTTACCCCTTGATGACTTGTTTAAAAGTCTAAGGTAGCAAACTTCCTAGTTATTTAAGTATATATTTATGCAAAGAAACTCACCTGCCAGGTAGAAATGTAGAACTAGTTTTCCAGATATGAGTTTGAGCTAGAGAAAGACTTGATAAATAACTGAGGCCCTGAAACTACAGAATATGTTGTAAGCACTGAAGTGACAAAATGTTAGAGAGCATTGCAGTGCTTGAGAGTTACTTCTGAAACATCCACAATAGTTTCATTAGTCTTCATGGATATCTCTTTGGGAGCACATTTGAAGTTCTGTATGTGTCCTTTTAATCTACCGACTTTAAACCAGCTACATCATAGAAGAACAGTACTGGTATCAGCTACAGAGATTAGAGAGCCTAAACCATATATGTAAATGTTTACATGTAAAACCAAATTTCTCATGGTTTTTGAATTTTTGACAGCCATTTGAGAACATGAATATAAAGTGAATATTTTGAAATCAGGCTGATTTCAATATAAAGAGCCTGATGAAAAATGCTTTCAGCACCAAATATGGGAATAGATAAAAGGCTTTAATATGATCATGTGCTGGAATTCACAAATAATGGAAATCTTACGTACAGTCATACATCTTAAGTATAGAACAAGAGTGTAGTGAAACACTGAATGTATTTCTTAGTGTCAGCAATTCACAAAGTAACTTATTTAAATTTAAAAAAAAAAAACCTAAAGTTTCTTTGAATTTGGCTGCCTCCCTTATATCACTACTGAGGCTTAGGCATCTATAGCTGCTTTTAGCTACTATATTCTATCTAAGTCTCCCTTCACATTTCTATGTTGCTAAACAACCAATGTTTAGTGATTTCCATAACTGTAACTCTGCCTTTTTAGTACTGAAATTGATTTTTTCTTATTTGGGCATCTAAAGATAAATGTATTATTCCATATGCATGTCATTTTTTCTTCACCATGTTTGACAAAATACTTTCACGACGAATGA